TTTGAATTATAATCAGAGATTTAGTATTTTATACAAGTTCTACATAAACAATGATTTTTTTATAATTCAATTGTTTTCAATTTATATTTTTTTCCTTTTAAATTAAATGTTTTAACAGACAGTTGGCTTTTGTTACACATGATTGGAATAATGATTCAAATACAACTACATAAAAGAGAAACATTTTACTTTTATTTACTTTTTTCCTTCTATTCATTTAGTTAGTTACATGGAAAAGTATTTATCACTACTTTTCCAGAGACAAGTTTTTATTTTTAAATGCTTTTTTATATATTTTTTTAACTAAATTTATTTGAATTGAACACAGTTTGACGTTATTGACATTAAATAAAAACATTTTCTTTTCTTTTTTTGTCTGCTAGGAAATGGAAAAATTATAAAATTGAAAAGATTGTTAAATACATGGAAAATACATATAAAACTCTATATTTTAGTTACATGTAATAGAAGCAGAGGAAATGGTATAGTAAAAACACAGTATAAGATAAAAGTTTTCTCTTGATACATGAATATATACTTTACATATTAAAGACATAATATTATCAAATATGTTTGCAATTTTGGTTTAAATTAAATTCTCTTCTTAAAACTCCTTTAACATTTTTTATTACAACATTATACACTGTTTACTAATATGAGTACTTATGGGATTTGGGTATTTCTGTTTTTCTCTGTAAATACCAGTTACTTGGCCATCAATTGAATCGCAACAAGGCGTTTGTATTTAATTGAATTAGTGGCGGCTCTTATGGGAAAAAGTTATTTTATGTATATTTTTTTTTTTTTTTGTTCTCAACTTTACTTTTACTTACAGTTATAATCATAAAAAAATATATTTTATATATAAATCCTTTAAATACACGCATGCAAAGTCAGCGACAGCAACTTACTCACACACACACTCAACCATGCTTAATCTAACGCTCTCTTGCATAAATATAATAAAAAACCCACAGAGATACTAAATGCTCTAAGGTACTCCTCATACAATAAAATACTATCTAAGATTGGGCAGAAAAAAAGGTATAAAAATTCTTTGCATGGCCATGCATGGTGGGCGTTTAGCACAGGAAGGAAGGACTCATATGTTTATGATTGTTTAAGTTGCAAAAATAAAAAGTAAAAGTATTCCCAGCAACATTTGGAACAGCTTTAACACCTACCCACTTGCCCAGCAAATTTTTTGCACTACCTTCTATGCATTAATATATTTTAAGTTGTACCTTGGCTTAAAAAACTACCGGGTCTTTGTACACTTATGCGTGTTTTCCTATGTAAATAAAAATGTGTAGGGATTTATAATATTTTTTCACTTTCACTTTTTTCTATTTGCCCGTTTTTGTGCTTTCCTTTATTTATTTCTTTTGTTAGAATGGTTATATAAAATAAAATTATTTGCTCTTTTATTATTTAAAACACAAAATCCCCCGATTTTTTGTAATGCTCGATTGGACATTATTATGTGCCCAGGACTTAAATACAACAATATTTATGTTAAATATGTTGTATAAATAAAATAACAGCAAAAAGGAACAAAAAAATGGAATTGTTTATTTTAGTGGGAAAAGACGAACAATATGAGTTTGGTTGGTTAGTTAGTTAGTTAGTTAGTTAGTTAGTTAGTTAGTTAGTTAGTAGTTAGTTAGTAGTTAGTAGTTAGTTAGTTAGTTAGTTAGTTAGTAGTTAGTTAGTTAGTAGTTAGTTAGTTAGTTAGTAGTTAGTTAGTTAGTTAGTAGTTAGTTAGTTAGTTAGTTAGTTAGTTAGTTAGTTAGTTAGTTAGTTAGTTAGTTAGTTAGTAGTAGTAGTTAGTTAGTTAGTTAGTTAGTTAGTTAGTTAGTTAGTTAGTTAGTTAGTTAGTTAGTTAGTTAGTTAGTTAGTTAGTTAGTTAGTTAGTTAGTTAGTTAGTTAGTTAGTTAGTTAGTTAGTTAGTTAGTTAGTTAGTTAGTTAGTTAGTTAGTTAGTTAGTTAGTTAGTTAGTTAGTTAGTTAGTTAGTTAGTTAGTAGTTAGTAGTTAGTTAGTTAGTTAGTTAGTTAGTTAGTTAGTTAGTTAGTTAGTTAGTTAGTTAGTTAGTTAGTTAGTTAGTTAGTTAGTTAGTTAGTTAGTTAGTTAGTTAGTTAGTTAGTTAGTTAGTTAGTTAGTTAGTTAGTTAGTTAGTTAGTTAGTTAGTAGTTAGTAGTTAGTTAGTTAGTTAGTTAGTTAGTTAGTTAGTTAGTTAGTAGTTAGTTAGTTAGTTAGTTAGTTAGTTAGTTAGTTAGTTAGTAGTTAGTTAGTTAGTTAGTTAGTTAGTTAGTTAGTTAGTTAGTTAGTTAGTTAGTTAGTTAGTTAGTTAGTTAGTTAGTTAGTTAGTTAGTTAGTTAGTTAGTTAGTTAGTTAGTAGTTAGTTAGTTAGTTAGTTAGTTAGTTAGTTAGTTAGTTAGTTAGTTAGTTAGTTAGTTAGTTAGTTAGTTAGTAGTTAGTTAGTTAGTTAGTTAGTTAGTTAGTTAGTTAGTTAGTTAGTTAGTTAGTTAGTTAGTTAGTTAGTTAGTTAGTTAGTAGTTAGTTAGTTAGTTAGTTAGTTAGTTAGTAGTTAGTTAGTAGTAGTTAGTTAGTTAGTAGTTAGTTAGTTAGTTAGTTAGTTAGTTAGTTAGTTAGTTAGTTAGTTAGTTAGTTAGTTAGTTAGTTAGTTAGTTAGTTAGTTAGTTAGTTAGTTAGTTAGTTAGTTAGTTAGTTAGTTAGTTAGTTAGTTAGTTAGTTAGTTAGTTAGTTAGTTAGTTAGTTAGTTAGTTAGTTAGTTAGTTAGTTAGTTAGTTAGTTAGTTAGTTAGTTAGTTAGTTAGTTAGTTAGTTAGTTAGTTAGTTAGTTAGTTAGTTAGTTAGTTAGTTAGTAGTTAGTTAGTAGTTAGTTAGTAGTTAGTTAGTTAGTTAGTTAGTTAGTTAGTTAGTTAGTTAGTTAGTTAGTTAGTTAGTTAGTTAGTTAGTTAGTTAGTTAGTTAGTTAGTTAGTTAGTTAGTTAGTTAGTTAGTTAGTTAGTTAGTTAGTTAGTTAGTTAGTTAGTTAGTTAGTTAGTTAGTTAGTTAGTTAGTTAGTTAGTTAGTTAGTTAGTTAGTTAGTTAGTTAGTAGTTAGTTAGTTAGTTAGTTAGTTAGTTAGTTAGTTAGTAGTTAGTTAGTTAGTTAGTTAGTTAGTTAGTTAGTTAGTTAGTTAGTAGTTAGTTAGTTAGTTAGTTAGTTAGTTAGTTAGTTAGTTAGTTAGTTAGTTAGTTAGTTAGTTAGTTAGTTAGTTAGTTAGTTAGTAGTTAGTTAGTTAGTTAGTTAGTTAGTTAGTTAGTTAGTTAGTTAGTTAGTTAGTTAGTTAGTTAGTTAGTTAGTTAGTTAGTTAGTTAGTTAGTAGTAGTTAGTTAGTTAGTTAGTTAGTTAGTTAGTTAGTTAGTAGTTAGTTAGTTAGTTAGTTAGTTAGTAGTTAGTTAGTAGTTAGTAGTTAGTTAGTTAGTAGTTAGTTAGTTAGTGCTCATATCGTCGTTTTTTTTACTTGAAGACATGTTTGATTCGAAGATTACTTTATAGGGTCGTACACAGAATGGCGCACTTATATACATATAACATTCTCAAGAAGGTAGAGGAAGTTAAAATACACATCTATTATTTAAATAAAAACTTAAGGCGATTACAAAAAACATTTTCCAAATAAAAGCACACCTTTTACAAAAAGAACTTTAACCTTTTTATAAAAGTACTAAATACAGTATTCCATAGGGTATGATTAAAAAAAAAATAGAAAAACAGTATTTTCCCTTTTAACAACGTCGGAAGTTAAATTGACAGAATGAATTATATGTACACTAGATGGTGATTATTACATATACCTAAAGAAATACATATTTATATATGTTTGTATATACTTAAGTACCCAAACATGTACTACTTCTATTCCAAGATTTACAATCAATACCATCAATTCATGCCATAAAATTCTATATATAAGTATAAGTAAGAAAAAAATTCATAGTTTTGAAGAACTTATTGATTTATTAAAGAAACAAATTTAATAAATATATTTTAGTAATAAAATATTTTGAAAATTTTACCAAACATTTTATACCTATGCCTTATGTTTTTTTAAACAACAACAATTTCCTCCTGTTTTATAGTAGCACCTAAAATATTAATTAAATCAGTTATATTATTATTCAGTAAATTTGCTAATTATATATAATTATTTATTAGATATTTATTATATTGTTAAACAGACATATGTATGTATATTTTATGACACTATAATTAATGAGATTCAGATTTGTTTTCCTCTTAATGAAGCATAAAATATTCAATTAGTTGTTTTTATTGCCAATTTTATTCTTCCTGGCAGAAATCAATATAAATTAGTTTTAGGCAAAGTATTGCAATGAATAAATTTTGTTTAAAGATGGGTTATTTTTGTATTCTAAAAAAAAACTTGCTGTCAGCGTAATAATTTAAAGGTTAAGACCATGTAGATTATTTGGTAATTAGCGTCCAGCAGCGCGAGCATATGTTACTTTTCTCACAAGACTGAGATTTTAATTGTTAGTATGTATGTAGTTCGGTTTGTTCATCATTAACACTTAGTGGGGTGAAGACAGTCATAAATGGACTAAAATTATCAAGGTTTTGAACAAGAAAATACTAACTTATTAACTAGATTGAAAAATGTTTATAAATTTATTAATTTTTGCAAATACTTAAATGGTTAATGGAATTTCTTATTATCTTCCATATTCCCGCTTTGGTTAAATAAAAACAACTGCCACCTAGTAACCAAAGATCATACACTTTTAGAGAAGCAAAATTAATGACAACAAATTCATTGATATTTATGCTTACTCAAGCAACCTTAAGTAATTAGCTTATTAGGGTGCAAAAACCTTAAAACAAAATGAGAAAATAGCTAAAAGAAAAAACGCAAACTTTAATTATGTAATTAACAACAAAAACACTTATACCTTTAAACGTCTTTTCGTTACAGATTCAATAATTTTAATTAAACTTAAACAGAATAAATAAAAAAAGGAAAAATCTCACTAATACACTAAACACAGAAGAAATAAATGCAAAAAAAATAACAGTTGGTTACACAAATAAACACTCTGAACAAGCTATTCGATACAAAGACGGAAGGATATAAAATGAAGGAAGTTGGAAAAATACAAAATGGCAGCAACAGCAGCTACAAATACACGTGAAAAAGTTAAAACATACAACAGCTACAACGGAAACAGCTCAAAATGAGCATAATAAATGATAATGAATTTTCAAATAGCGGAATATGATAATAATAATGAATTTTTCAACAACAAAAGTAAAAGCTGTAATGTAAAAGCAACAACAACAAAATGTTACTGAAAACCTGACAAATATTAAAATTGAAAGTTTTTTCTTTTTATAAATTGAAATATAAAACATTTAAAACAGGAGAAGAATAATAAAACCAACAACTAAAAATAAATTAAATAACTAATGTATGGTAAAAACCATACAAACGACTATTATTAAATTTTTGATAAAATACACAAAAAATATCAACTACACACACAACGATATTCGACAATTTCTGTTATTTTTTTGGTTTTAATGATTAAACATTATGGGCAGTTGTGCCTGGAAACGTGTTGTAATAAATAACCCGAAAACCATTATCACCGTCATTTTTAAATATAACAGCCAACTCAAAAGCAGCAGCACAACCAACAGCCCCCATCATAAACACATTTGTAAACAGCCATAAACACAGTTTAACAGCAAACACATAAAAAGTGGAAAAAAAAATTCTACAAAATATATTGAAACATTGTGCAACTATTTACAACCTAAATCAGTCAGCAGTACATAATAACATACATACACACATATGTATGTACATATATCCTTCCATTCAACCATTTGTCATCATTAAAAACACACTACAATTTTCGAGTGTATGATTAAGTAGCAAGTGGTGAGAGAGAAAGTAAGAAGAAGTGTAGAGGCGATGTCGTTACATTTTGAAACGCCTACATTTAGCAATACATTGTCAAAGTCAATAGCGTCAACAACAATACGAACATTAAATGATTTTAGCACTGCCAAACTACAGCAACAACATTCAAGCCAACATACAAGCCCACAACAGCAACAACAACAACAAAATGAAGATTTATACGCAGCTTTTAATACAGAAAATGTTAATACGGCTGCAGCCACCTTAGTAGAGACAACAAATTTTCCCTCAACTTTAATAACATCACCTGCAATACATAATATTTTAACAAATGCTGCCAATGAAGCTTCATCAGCATCAACATCATCCTCATCTTCGTCGACATCGTCAACCACTTCATCTTCATTATTATTAACAGCAACAACTTCAACCACATCAGCCATAACAACAACAGCAGCAGCAACAACAACTAATGCATCATTATCTCTAACAACATCTCTAACATTTTTACCTTCAACAGCATCTTCATCTTCGACTTCAACATCAAATGTCAATGTCAACGATTCCCTTAAAACTGTAACATCCGCTTTAACAACATCTTTATTCAATGATAATGGTGCTGCTGCTGCTGTTGACGACAATACCGCCAATGCCTTAGATAATTATGTCTTTGCCTCTTCAACTCCCTATAGTAGTTATTTAATACCAAATTCTACCAGCAGCCTTAGTGCATTCGCTTTTAATTCAACTCATATTGATGACAGCAACTACATTAACAGCACATTGTCGACACTAACAACAGTTATAGCTGAGCAGGACGATGACAATTGGATAACTTTGGCTGTCATCATTTTGAAAGGCTTTATATTTTTCTCAATTATTTTAGCTGCTGTCCTTGGCAATGCTTTGGTTATTATTTCAGTGCAACGTAATCGGAAATTACGGTAAGTGTAGTTTAGATAATAATTTAAGTTATTTCAGTTTAACTAAAATATTAGTTGGATTTTAAAGCCAAGAATTTATAGAAATTTTTTATATAAATTTTCTTAAATGCTTAAGCATTTTTCTGAGTTTTTTTAATTATGTGCACAACTGACACAAATATCAACTTTTCTTTAAAAATTGTCACATATCAATTTGCCAAATATTAAACTATTAATTTCGCTTCAATACTTCAAAAGCATTTAACAATTTTAGGTCAGGTCAATAGAACAATATTTAAAACCACAAAATAATATAAAAAATTTACGAACCACATTTCACTCTTGATTGACAAGAAAAGACCCTAAACTCTTGTCTATTTCACTTCATTCTTCAATATGCACTTCTCAAAAGATCTTACATGCCTCTTAATGAGAAAAAATTAAGAGAAAACTACCGATACTTTAGAATTTTTCATTGAACTGTTCAAAATAACCATCGAACTCCATCAAACTACTTATGACCTTATTTAAAAGCCCCATTTAAATAAATTGCAACATTCATGACATCAAATTAATTCGCTAGGTTCTATCGAACGAAACAACTATCTAAGGTAGACAGACGATGATGATGATGACAAAAAAACTGTAAAACGTACAAAGATGGAGGGTATATTGTTTTTGTCATTCCATTTGTAACACATCGAAATATTCATCTAAGACCCATAATAGTATATACATATTCTGGATCCTTATTAAATTCTAAGACGTTCTTGCCATGTCCGTTTGTCTGTCTGTTGAAAACACGATAGAGTCCAAATGGAAGTATCTAAAGAGATGCAATTTTGCACAGAACTTTCATATTGATGCAGTTTGTTTGGAATTGAAAATGGGCAATATGACATCGCTATAGCGATGAAATTCGACATAAACATATTTTATAGGAACCTAAATCGCTTTGTAAAATTTTATAAGGATCGGTCCACAATTGACCCTACCGCTCATATAAGGTCCCCTTCAGAAAATGATTTGAACGCTCATAACTGTCTAAAAGAAGCATATATAGCGATGAAATTCGACATGAACATATTCTGTAGAAAGCTAAATCGCTTTGTAAAATTTTATAAGGATCGGTCCATAATAGACCCTACCCCCCCATATAAAGTCCCCTTCAGAAAATGACTTTATCGCTCATAACTGTCTATAAAGAAACCTCTTTAGCAATGAAATTCGACATGAACATATTTTATAGGAACCTCAATATCATTGTAAAATTTTATAAGGATCGGTCCCTTTCCTATAAGGTCCCTTTCAGAAAATGACTTTAACGCTCTTAACTGTCTAAAAGAAGCATCTTTAGCAATGAAATTCGACATGAACATATTTAATGGGAACCTACTACGCTTTGTATAATTTTATAAGGATCGGTCCATAATTGACCCTATCCCCTATATAAGATCCCCTTCAGAAAATGACTTTATCGCTCATAATGCTCATTAAATATCATAGTATATTTATATGGAAGCATTCCCTTTCGGCAATGATTTGATGGTGGGTATACATTTTGTTATTTTTTAGTGCAGGTTGCAGCTCTAAAAGCGAATGGATAAGAAAAGCGAAAATTAAGTAGAAAAACTTAAAAGTTAAATAAAAAGCGTCAAAAATACTATACGTAATGTGAAAAAATGTATTAGAGGGGTCCAAAAGAATTCCGAAAAATGTTAAATATTTTTAATTAACACAAACATTTCTGAAACGCCAATTAAAGACTTTTCACATGATAATAAATATGTATAACATTAATTTTCGTAAAATATGAAAAAATTTACGAGACCATAAAAAGACCCTTGAAGACGGACATGACACAGTTCGAAATTCAAACAAAAAGCGACTGTATGTGGCCACTGAATAATACTTATAAATCTTATTTATGACTGTTCTTTAACACTAAAGCAAAACCTTCCTGGCTTTAATACAACTAGTAGCCTCGATTTAATATCTTTCGGTTTCTCCTAATAACGGAAGTGAAATATTAAAAAAAATTTTAAAAATCACTAACAAAGTTTTGTTGGAAATTATCACTAGTCGCTCAAAAATACTTATATAATACTCGCCATTTTAGTTTGAAATCAAAGTTGACACTAAAAAGAAAGCACAAGAAATAATAATGAATCATGACAACATTATTAAAGATCCGGAAATTACAACTTATTTCCGTTTGTTAGAGTGTTATGAACAGGTGGTTTTTTATATACCAAAAGGTATGACAGTATCGGTAATAATAAAATAGTAAAAAAAAATAAAAAATAAGCTAAACTTCTGTCCACTTACATAAAAAGTGAACAAAAAGAAACTAGTAAGAAAATAATGAGGTTATAAATTAATACAGTAGAAACTGGGTGGAAAGGTTTTGAGCAAACTCACATATATGTATGTATATACAATGTTTATGCTTTTAAGCCAAAAATTAAATTCATAATTTGTATAACCCAAACAAATATTTAACATTGTCAAGGCGTTTCATAAAATGTCATCAACAGAAAAAAGGTATTACTAGACAATATAATTATAACCTATCCACCATAAACCCAACTTAACTGCTGCAGGATACATTTAAACCACCCACAATTTTTTCAGAAAATTTTTTCCTTTTGTAAATTGTTTCCTTTTTAATTACAAAACTGTCCACCTCTTCAAGTAGCCACTGTACCGTTATCGTCTAACATTAGTTATTTGTTTGCACAAGTAGGTTACGAACCGGATGGTAAAAAACGAGGAGAAAAAATATGACCATAAAATGACATTACGACGACTACTGAGATGAGACAAAGCATAAAATTTAATTTCTTCTCAAGTGTGTCAACTTCATTTTCAACATATTTTTACGTTGACGTGTTTTTCCCTTTGGTTTTTTTTTCTTGTTTTTATTGTTATTTTTCTTTTTTGTTTTATGTTGATTTTCTTGTTAATTTCATTTTATATCTCTTATGTGGACATTGCTATTCTATTTTATACAATGTATTTACTCCATGGAAAAATGTATGTCTTTGAATGAATGTACACTTGACGGAATAAATGTGGTGATTTGGTTTAATATATCCCTTATTTACTACATAACCGGCATATATCAGTTCTAGTTCGGTTCTAGTTCGGTTCTAGTTCAGTTCTAGTTCAGTTCTAGTTCAGTTCTAGTTCAATTCTAGTTCAGTTCTAGTCCAGTTCTAGTTCAGTTCTAGTTCAGTTCTAGTTCAGTTCTAGTTCAGTTCTAGTTCAGTTCTAGTTCAGTTCTAGTTCAGTTCTAGTTCAGTTCTAGTTCAGTTCTAGTTCAGTTCTAGTTCAGTTCTAGTTCAGTTCTAGTTCAGTTCTAGTTCAGTTCTAGTTCAGTTCTAGTTCAGTTCTAGTTCAGTTCTAGTTCAGTTCTAGTTCAGTTCTAGTTCAGTTCTAGTTCAGTTCTAGTTCAGTTCTAGTTCAGTTCTAGTTCAGTTCTAGTTCAGTTCTAGTTCAGTTCTAGTTCAGTTCTAGTTCAGTTCTAGTTCAGTTCTAGTTCAGTTCTAGTTCTAGTTCAGTTCTAGTTCAGTTCTAGTTTAGTTCTAGTTCTAGTTCAGTTCTAGTTCAGTTCTAGTTCAGTTCTAGTTCAGTTCTAGTTCAGTTCTAGTTCAGTTCTAGTTCAGTTCTAGTTCAGTTCTAGTTCAGTTCTAGTTCAGTTCTAGTTCAGTTCTAGTTCAGTTATAGTTCTAAACGTTTAGAAGAATATCTCTACAAAATCAAGAAATACGATATCACGTAGAATTACATGTAGCAATTTTAAAAGTGCTATGAAAACAAAAACTTTTTGTTGCTTAAAATTTCAACATTTTTAATACACCTCTTAGTGTATAAATATTATTTTTCCTTTTTTTTATTTTTACTTTTATATTTTACATGATTATTTTCTTTTTTAAACAAAACCGATGTTAAAATTAAAACTTTGTTGTTCTTTTTCATTCTCCCCCCTTCATGACTCTGTGGATATTTGTGGACATTATATGCAGAGTAATAACAAATTATTTTGTTGTATCATTGGCCATGGCAGACATGTTGGTTGCACTTTGTGCGATGACATTTAATGCGTCGGTAGAGCTGTCCGGTGGCAAGTGGATGTTCGGACCGTTCATGTGTAATGTTTACAATAGTTTGGATGTTTATTTTTCAACAGCGAGCATTTTGCATTTATGTTGTATCTCTGTGGACAGGTAAGTCAAAAAAATTTAATTTTTTTTGTAATATTTAAAAGCAAGCATGTGTAAAAATAAATGAGATTTTTTTTGTCAGAACTTAATAAAATTGTTGAAGGAAGAGAGAAAAATAACCACGTGTACATGACATATGAGTAAAATGAGCGGTAAAAAGTGATCTAGAAAATTCATAGAAAAATAATTTTTATTGCGGAAAATGCTATTAGATAATGTCTAATATAATGTACAAATAATAAAAGCTTTCAATAGTCCTGGCAATCGCCTCCCTAATGTTTAATTTAAGTTAAGTCTTAGTTTTTCATACAATCGAAAAAAAATACACAAATATACATTATATATACTAAAAATGTAATTTTACCAAGACTACATAATCATTATAACATTTTGTTCCCTTAAACTCTTCCTCTATATTTCCTTTGTAAAGATTAAACTTATTATCCACAAAGCACTCAAGTATTTCAAATTTTGAAATACATTTAGAAAATTTTAATTGACTTTATATGTATGAACTTCATACGAAAAAGACATCAAAAAGAAACATAATCATTAACTACAGAAATACTTAAAATAACTTTAATAGTCAAACATTACTACTAATGATGTGATTTTCAAATATTTTAACTACAGATTAGAGGAAATCTTTACAGTTGAAAAACTAATAACATTAAACGAAATACGTTTTTTCCTTATTTACTTTTTTCTTCGTAATATTACTAAAGGCCTTTTAACTTTTTATCGATATTTCCGTTTCTTTTGACGATAATACTTAAGGATTCAAAATATTTAAATGACATGTATATCTTTATTAAAGTTCTAACCAAATTTAAATATATGCAGCCAAAATTGTTTTCTTACATATAAAAGCATTTATCCTTTTTTGTACCATCCTTTCTAGTTGTTGTTTTGTTTGGAAGGATTATTGTTCTGAATCAACATCGATATTATTATGCATACTCTCTGAGTGAGTATGTGTGTTAAGCCGCCTTTGTAATTTCGAATACCCTTTTTAGTCGCCTTATAAATACCGACAAAAAAGTTATTTTCCCTTTAAATTGTTTCATTTTTTATAGAGAATCCTTTTTGTAGACGTTTAGGTTAAAAAGCTATAACAATAATGTTAAACAAAACAAAAGTTGTTCAACACATAAAAATGAGTAGAAATGGTAAAAAAAAAAAAAACAAAATTTTACGGCCAATTGGTCTGTTAACTATAAAAACAGCTTTAGAAGTGTTTTAAAGAGATGTACATATGGGCTAAAACAAGAATCAATAGCTAATTCCAGAACTAGAGTAAAGAACTAAGTTAGTTCTAGTTCAGTTCTAGTTCAGTTCTAGTTCAGTTCTAGTTCAGTTCTAGTTCAGTTCTAGTTCAGTTCTAGTTCAGTTCTAGTTCAGTTCTAGTTCAGTTCTAGTTCAGTTCTAGTTCAGTTCTAGTTCAGTTCTAGTTCAGTTCTAGTTCAGTTCTAGTTCAGTTCTAGTTCAGTTCTAGTTCAGTTCTAGTTCAGTTCTAGTTCAGTTCTAGTTCAGTTCTAGTTCAGTTCTAGTTCAGTTCTAGTTCAGTTCTAGTTCAGTTCTAGTTCAGTTCTAGTTCAGTTCTAGTTCAGTTCTAGTTCAGTTCTAGTTCAGTTCTAGTTCAGTTCTAGTTCAGTTCTAGTTCAGTTCTAGTTCAGTTCTAGTTCAGTTCTAGTTCAGTTCTAGTTCAGTTCTAGTTCAGTTCTAGTTCAGTTCTAGTTCAGTTCTAGTTCAGTTCTAGTTCAGTTCTAGTTCAGTTCTAGTTCAGTTCTAGTTCAGTTCTAGTTCAGTTCTAGTTCAGTTCTACTTCAGTTCTAGTTCAGTTCTAGTTCAGTTCTAGTTCAGTTCTAGTTCAGTTCTAGTTCAGTTCTAGTTCGGTTCTAGTTCAGTTCTAGTTCAGTTCTAGTTCAGTTCTGGTTCAGTTCCAAAAATATCGGAGATATGATTGAAATTCGGAAAAAGACTAAAAAAATACAGGTCAACTTGTCTGGTACGGTAACTTTTTTGACAGCAGCGAAAAATGACATATTGTCATTTTATCTAGTTTATATAAATTTGTAAATTTGCAAAAAAGATCATAACATAAATATTCCACTTTTGAAACAATTGTTTGGTTAAGTTAGGAATTTATCTTTTCGAAAATATGTTTTAAGTTGACATGATTGTCATCCAAATAACACATTTTTTATTAGTTACAATTTTTATGATTTTTCTTTTCATTTTTTATTAGTTACAATTTTTATGATTTTTCTTTAAACAAACATAAGCATTTCTAAAGCAAACAAAACTTTACAATTTCTAAGAAGTTCAATTTCCAGAAATTATTTATATGTGTCATAAGTAATTCTCAGTAGGTTAGGTTTACAAGTGTTTATTTACAACACAAAATTCCTAAATATTATATTCACTAAACTCACACTTCGTCCCCTAACAGCAAATATTTATCGAAAATACTTAAATAATTGATGAACTAATCTTATTAATAACTTCTGTCATTATTCTCCAGCCAATTTCAATAAGGTAATTTATCAATTATTTATTTAATAAATCTCATAAGTATTTCTTGCCATTTCATTGCGGGTTGCCACCAACAACATCAAAACTCCAACCAAAGTTTTACTTCCATTAAATTGTATTTGTAGCCAAAACCACAAAAATTCAATTGATTTATTTGATGGTCTTTATTATTTATTGTATTTATTTGTTGTTGTTATTACACGTCGAACCATCTAAAAGATGTTCAAGTAAATCTGCCAATATTAAGTGAAAAAGTGTAATTAATTTGCTAAGGAACCAAGAAAAAGGTAATCAAAATAAGCTGAAAAAAATATGCTACTAAAATTAAAATAATGTGGCAAATAAAATGATTAATGGTTCCCTTAAGAAAACTTCATATAGCAAAAGTGAAAAACAAAACCAGACGTAGAATGAAATAAAGCAAAAACATTTAAATACTCTATATGGAAAAGGACGAAAAAAAAATATATATAAGTAAAACATTAACTATTAATTGTGTGTAAAGGACTTCTTCCAATGGGATTAACATTTAAGGTTTTTGTGTGTATGTATGTGTATAAATATTTACAATCGTTACAGTTGAAGTCCTGTAACGTAAGCTTAAGCACAGTGGAACGAAAATTAATTGTTTTAATTGTTTTATATTGCTAGAGAAAATAACTGCAATTAATAGTAATTGAACTTAATTTTTTAGGAATATATAGAAAAATAAATCAGTTTGAAAATATATTGTTCATTTTTATGCCCATTTATAATATGAAATGTTTTTATGAAAAAAAAATCACTTAAAAACCGCAAACATTTCTTGTGAATTAAAGTTAAATGTTATAATGAATCAAATTTAAAATAAAACATTATTTATTTGAAACTCCTAAAACCACTGTACTATATTTAAACGTTTACCAAAATGTTTATCCCTTATTTAGAGATGACCATTAATAAACATTTACAGATACATATGTATGTATGTTAGAGAGGAAAAAATAAATAACCGACAACAGCTGCTTAAACAATTTAAATATTCAAATAAACACTTATCCAATTTATCAACACCTAATGTTTATTTCTCCTTTTAATTTCTTCTCTCTCGATTCTTTTTTTATAACTTGATTACTTTTATCTAGATATTATGCTATAGTACGTCCTCTGGAATATCCTTTAAATATGACACATAAAACGGTATGTTTCATGTTAGCCAATGTTTGGATACTGCCTGCACTTATATCGTTTACACCCATCTTTTTGGGTTGGTATACAACTGACGAACACTTGAAAGAGATTAGCCTACATCCCGACCAATGTTCCTTTGTGGTTAATAAGGCCTATGCACTCATCTCTAGTTCCGTTAGTTTTTGGATACCGGGTATTGTGATGTTGGTTATGTATTTTAGAATTTATAAGTAAGTGAAATTGAAAGGACTTTTTAGTGAATGTAATGCAATTTAATATAAATAATTATTTTCGTTTCTTCGCAATAGAGAGGCAGTTAGGCAACGTAAAGCCTTGAGTCGTACTAGTTCTAATATTTTACTAAATAGTGTACATATGGGCCATACTCAGCAGCCGACAAATTTAAATTATTTACATCCCAGTGACTGTGAATTCACCCTAACGAGAGAAGAAACTCATAGTGCGATCAGTAATCTCGAGGTAAGTGAATAGAATAAAATATTTACTATATTTAATTTCCGGTTTAATACATATACAGTTAAGATCACTAAATAAAAGTGATGTGGACTTAATTTTCAACCACTTGCAATAAAAATCAGTAAATGGATCTTTTAAGATCATTTAAATGAATTCTATGAAACAACGCGATCACATTTAATGGATCACCAAAGGTGATCGCATTGATTGCTACAAACAGTAAGAATAGTGATCCCTCGATTTCCAAAATTCACGTAAATGTGTACGTTCTTATCACGATCAATTGGCGAAACTCTTAGAGCTTCTGAAACATCAGTAGTATTAAAAGTTTCGATATAATTGAAATAAAAATGTTTGTATAAGTAAAAAGTTTAAAAAGTTAATTTTTTTTTAAAGTATTTTCTATACCCTTTTCCCACCTGTTTAAACAAAATTTTACATTTTATTAGAAATTCTAACATAAATATGCTTATTATTCTTGCATATTTTCAATTTATTCTTCAAATCATGCAAAGCAAGCATTAAATTGGGGTTTCCTATTTTTTTCTATTCATTCAAAGCAATTTATTATATTACACATTCTTTACATTATTCAACATTTTATTCGTTGTTGTTGTTGCATTTTCTTACAGGATATTTTACCACAAACAGATGATGATGACAAAGATGAGTGCGATGAGTTGCGTGTTCCTTCACCACCACCCCGTAGACTGAGTCGGAGTAGTATTGATTTACGTGACCTCGAACAAGAGCGCTACGAAAAAGTTACACACACAGATAGTGCACCCTCAATGATAGCCTTACATTATGCCACACAACAACAGTTGCAGGTGCCATGCAACAAAGATGCAGCAGCATTTAATCAAGAACAGCAGCAACAAATTTGGCATGATACTTTAAATGATTTGCAGCAGCCCATTGAGATTACGGTTCCTATAACAAAAACAACCCATCAACAGAGACAACATACATCCTCAATGAGTAGTAATTCACCTCCAACGTTAAATAAACAGGGTAATCAATTTAGTACTAGTAAAAATGGTTGTGATTCAGAACAATACCAAGTATTTGGTGGCAATAATAGTGATGATAGTGAAACCAACGATTACTACGATAGTATCAATATAATGAAGCAAGCACCTACCACTTGTCTGCCCATAGCCGAAGATAATAAAGAGCTTAAACGTCTGATAGAAGACAATTATTTGTATTTTAAGAAACAAACGGCAGGGGCAGACAAAACTGTGGAGGGTGATAAGTACAGCAGGAATCAAAGCGGCAGTAGGTATCCTGCTTTAAGTGAGACTGACTTTATACGCATGAAAAATGGCGAAAATCGTTATCGCTGCAGTAAGGATACAAGTAAAAAGTCATTCGCTCTTAGTGATTCGGAATTCTTGAAAAGTTTTAATGAGAGCAAAAGTAAGAAGAAGCAATTGGAAGCCTTAAAAGAAGGCACCATTGCCACAACCACAACTAGTACAAAGGAAGAGAGTAAGGGAGGTTTTAACCTTAAGTCTTTATTGGCCAAAACAAAACGTTCTAGCACGGAATGTTTTTCACTGGAAAAGAAAAGGCATCAGGCCAATTCCGAGGAAATACAATCCAGTAGAGCCCAGCTGTTTAAACGTTCCCGCAATCGTAAACTTTCACACAGTTACAATGGTGGCCTAAGAGAAAGACAAAAATATGAAATACGTTCCCGTCAACATAGTGATACCGATTCAGATGTTTATTTACCCCGCCTGTTTAGCGAAAGTCAAGATTCCTCTAGTCGTTATAATACTCCCGATATTTTGCTAGATATTAATATACTAAATGAACAATCCGAAGATGGCAGAAGAGAAGAGGAGGAACAAATGTCCATGAGGTCACCGAAACATACAAATACCTACATACAATTAATAGATTTGGGGGCAAATACTATACAGGAAGTGGGGCCAGATGATTTGTCTTTTATGAAAGACATAAATCAAGATTCTCCTCAAATACCCAATACTCCACCATCCTCTTTGTCACCCACTTCTCTAATAGACTCTTCAATACCCGAGCAATTAAAAACGGAAACTTTAAATTCTATAAATGAGAAATCCAATGTCTCCATCAAATCTAGCTCTGAATTGGCGGAACTATTTCGATCTTTAAGCTTTCCCTCAACAGAGCAATCCTTTCAATCTCCTGTACATCAACCCGAAATAATGAGCAGTATTAAAGCCAAAGAATCTTTTAAAATTATTAAAAAGGAATCAATAAAACAACGCATGAGTACGCTGAGCGATCAGGTGTTAGTCAATAAGAATAGTTCAAATTTTTTAATGTCTCCACCCATGACACCGAATTTTAACTCAGTCATTCAACTGCCCACTAGTAAGTCACCAAATTTAATATTAACCGGTAATAGTAGCAGTTTTGGGGGAGGTGGTGCGGGGACTCCCAGCAATAGCATAAATGTTTACTTTCTTTCGCCGCCACCTACAGCCACTGCACCCGTATTTCCTCTCAACTCGCCCAGCAATCAGTTTTTTGTTAGTGATACTTCCACCGTATCAATGGACATGTTTGCAACACTGGCCGTACCCTCACAAGCACAACAAATAAACAACACAGGAACAGGAACTCAGCCAGCACCACCATTAACACTGCAACCTACCTCACAGAAAACAAATATTTCACCGAAACCGGAAATTATTTTAGATTCCACACTCTCACCGACCTCTATGCGTAGCGGCTGTGGCGGTGGCAGTGGCGGATCTTTAGCGGGAGAAGACAAAGACTTAACATCACCGTTATTCAAACGTCATGACACAGAACCGGAATCTACAATTACAAATAGCCAACGAAGTGGCAAACGCAGTTCTCTTCTCACCGGTTACGAGGGCATACAAACTGTGCGAAAACGACAGGCTTCTGTTGTTACGTATGACGTTAATGTCATAAATTTTTCACAAGACAACAGTGATAGTCGCAGCTATATACCCATGGGACGAGTATCAACAAGTTCAGCCAGTAAGTATTCGAATGTTCAATAATTTTTTACTAACTGCACACTCACATTGAAACGTATCGTGATGGTCGTCCATGTTTTTGTACTTGTGTTCCTGTTCATGTACATACTGACATAAAAATATATGATCCTATAATCTGTTCACCTTTCGATTTCATCCAATTCTCATTTTAATCTAACAATAAAAAAAAACTTACACACATACTCATTTATACACAATTTTTGAAAGCTTGTTTAGTTCTATGTCATTTTTATAGAAACAACAAAATGATATTTAAGGGATTCACAGTTCCTAGAAAAGAAGTGCAGTTGTTAACCTTTTCTAGATTTTAAAATAAATCCTCTTAAATGTTGACTGTGAGTGGCTTTTTTTTTTGGGTTTCTTTGGATACTGTGAAATCCTTTGTTTAGTTATAGTTGTATTTTATCCTCAACGTGATGGAAAAGGTCATTTTTATAGTTTGTTAAACTCCCTCCATGTTGTCCATGTTATCTTGGTTTAGTGTCACGTATTATGTTTGTTTGATGTTTCTATGTTACTATTTCCATAAGTAGCTTGGTACATTTTTAGTATATTCGTGTGGCTGTAAGATATTCATAAAATAAAGGGTGATCTAAATATAGGTAACTTTTTAAAAGATAAATAGCACGCAGTGGATATTTTCAGTTGCGACAATAGTAAATATAAAAGTAAAGGCTTCTTTTCTAGAGTCTCAGGTGGAAATCGAACCGACGACCTCCGGACTGATAGACTATTAGCACGGTGGCACCTTTAAAAGTGGACATACATATGTAAGTCAACAATTTGTGAACAGATTGTGGGTTCAACCTCTTGAGACCGTGGGAACACATTCAGTAATCGTGGACCAAATTGGCAATAAATTCAGATCTGATTGAGATCGACTCAGTAAGGTACATATATGTGCAAACTGAAAGTGATCTGAAAATATCTCACTGGTTGGGTTAGGTTTTAGGGACAGCAGTCGGTTACAGCTACAGACAATTCTCTATGGAGTTACCCTAAACGGAACATACAAAGAATAGCTATGAGTACATGATCTATATAGAGTTGAATCAATCACGAGTGAATCTGGTGAACTTAATATGGGTTTTTGAGGAGTTGACTTTTATCTCAACCATTTATGCCTAAAATTTTGGTGTCTTGTTTTGCTTAGCAGATCCATATAAGAAGTTTCAACTCTAGTTGTGATTTTTCGAAAGAAAGCGGAACTCAGCCTAACAGGCCAAATCTAAGTGCAACGGAAATCCATAATTAAGTTCTAATTTTGAATCTTGAAAGCCATTTGAACAGGAGAGAGAGAAAGAATCATATGGAAATATAGAAAATTTTGTGTTTTATACGATTTCATCTTCATTCAACTCTATTTTCTCTAAAGACAAGAAAAATACTTTAAGATTTAGAAAGTGTATAACTATATTTGGATCACCCGTTAAATAAAGCAATTATATGTATTGTATTATATTTGTTTGATGTCAAAATCTCTCCTAACAAATCAAATATAAAAATCATAAATATTTGTTTTTAATTCAAAGAAAAATGATTTGGTGTGTATGTAGTATAAATAGTACTTAAATTCATAGGGTCAAAATTATAAAAATGATATACATATATATATAAAAAAATGTGAGAATAATTCACAATCTAGCAAAGTTTTCTCTTAATAATATACATAAAAATTTTATACGTTATAAGGACTGTGAAAGTTCTGTAAGTTTATTTTCCTAATTTACCTTTGATGACATAGATTTTCTTAACAAACTTTCTACGCATTCATTTCGCCATTGAACAAAAAACTCTTGATCAATCAGTTAAAGTTTGTCACTATTTTGAGAATTTATTATTTCTTGAAAACTGCATGCTACAGTAAAGTAACTAAATAAATTAAGCATGGGCGCGTTAAAAATTTGACTTTTTCAACATAACATTTTCTTTCTATTTCTTTACTATTAAAAACTATTATAAAATGAAAAAAAAACTTTTGTAAATAAACAAATTATATACAAATACCATTATTATTCCAACTATTCTTCTTTTGTATATACCTTTAAATTTCGTTCTAAATCTATTAAAAACGTACAAACGTTTGTCAAAATGTAAAAAATGCAAAAAAACTAAAAAAAAAATACAGAATATGAAGCAGATTACTGTAGTAAATCGTCGCTTAAACGTCGTGGTGGTATTTGTATATTTGTCGATGAAGAAGAAGTTGAACAAATGATTGATCCAACAATGACCACCGCCCAACAGCAACAACAACTGCAACAGCATGGCACAAAAAGTATAACTTTTAATGTCAATTCATCGTTTAAACGTAAATCGAGAGGTGGTAACAAATCTAACAAGTGTCTTTATTGTGGTTCAGATCTAAAAGCACAAAAGCAACAACAACAACAAACCTCCTTAAAAACGGAAAATCTAAATAGCAAAAAACATAATAATAAAGATAATAACAATAGCAGGCATGACATCAAGCAAATGCGTAAGAAACGTAATTTAAGTTTATGGCATAGAACACGTTATTGGTACTATAAGAATCGGAAACAACCCTATAATGGATGCCAATGTGGGGCCAACGGTGAGTTTGAATAGAACACACATCAAAACAAAATCAAAAACTATACTTAGACTAAAACTAAACAAAATCAAATAAAACAGCTTTAATTTACGAATTTAACTCACTACTACTACTACTATTTACTCACAAATAATAAAAACTACAACAAAATAAACTCACTACCACCATCACCACAATAACAACAGCATTATTGTATGTTTTTTTTATTAACAATTACAACATTTCTTTTTTTTTTTTTTTCCAAGAGAATAAACACTTGATTTACTTTATTCAATATATACAATACTAAATATTTATTTCAATACAGTGTTAATGAACTTAACGAAAAAAATCACAAACTACTATACAACTACAGAATGATTGAATATGAATGAATCTATAGATTGTAATAAAATTTATTAGATAAAATTACTAATTTTACTACTACTACATACTTTTTGTAAAAATAATATAACGAATTGCATAAATTTATTTTTTTATTTATTTCTTCTGTTTTATAAATTATATACCTATACATTTATATATGTATAACAGTTACATACATACATATGTATGTATTAACTGTACTTAATAATATGTTCATACTGCTAATGCTTACTTCAAATACAGGAACTAGTGTAGATAATTTTCTTAGTTTTCTCATTTCCTTTCAGAGTACAAAATTTGTTGTACAAATACATTAATACCTTAAATTTCGCTATGTATATTTTTTGCCTTTAACTCTATATTCTATGTATGTATATCTTTTATATAAATATCTTATACCCTTCATGGTGAAATGTGAAGGGTATAAGAATAAATATTTTGAAAAACTTTTAGCAGGTATTTATTTAAAAGAAATGCAGTTTGTTCGAAACGTAAATTTTTTCAATTCAAAATTCTTCTCGTATTCGAAACCCAGAGACTAAAGAATTGAGCTACGTCGAATCATCAGAAACCGGCCCTATGGATCACATCAGCCATTCGATATATCATCTCCTCTAGTTTGAGAAGATGATGAAGTTTGTCATTATTTATACATTTAGTTATGTAATCCAAAAGTCAAATCTTTCAATTTTGAAATAAAATTTTGTTATAACTTACTTCTTCTAAGAGATATATAAGGCAATGACCCAACATTTAAAATCTATGTCATCCGATTTGGATGAAATTTACACCAAAGTTACTACTATTGGATAGTAGGCTAGACAAGAACGATCAAGAACTGTTGGAGTTATAGGGGGTCAAAGTTGGACATCATACAGAATTTTTTTCAAAGGGGCTAAAAAAAAATAAATCACTTAGTTCTAGTTTTATGTGAATTCAAATTTATGCGGTTTTCAAATGAACGATTTTTTAGGATTTTATCAGATTTTGAAATTTTAGATGTTTTTTTAAGCTTTTTTACCATTTTTAAATTGGTCATATCTTCAGCACAGTTAATCCTATACAAAATCAAATTCTTAATGTGACGCAACGCAGACTGACAGATCTGTTTTCCGGATATCAAGAGCTACATAAAAATTAAAAATCTCAAAGTTTGATGACAAAATTGAAACTCCTAAAAATTTTTTGATCTCGTCCCCTTTTCACGAGATATGTAAATTCTAGTTATGAAAATGATATTTTACTATATGATGGCAATATAATTAAATCATCTAGTGATGAAAGTGACGTTGAACCAATTCCAAAATGATGCAGACAATTATTCAGTGATTCAGATTAATTATACATATTAACAGAATTTTCTTAAAAATACGTTTCAGCTTATTATACCATACACCACTGAAGTGGGGAGGGTATATTGGGTTTGTGCTGATGTTTGTAACATACAAAAATATTCGTCCTATACCTTAAAGTATACCAATCGGCTTAGAATCGTTTTCTGAGTCGATTAAGTTATGTCCGTCTGGCTGGCTGGCTGGCAGTCCATGTAAACCTTGTGCGCAAGGTACAGGTCGCAATTTTCAAGATAATTGGATGAAATGTGGCAAGCACGTTTTATTTGGCTCAAGGGCGAAGCCTATTGAAAATGGTTAAAATCTTTCCATTATTTCACCTAGCCCCCATAGAACAGAACCCCCCGAAAAGGACTTCTGAGCTCATAATTATGTTAAATATACAGGTATATCGATAAAATGCGGCACAACTAAGTTTTATAGAAGTCTTGATGACCCTGCCAAATTTCATAAAGATCGGGCCCCATTTGATCCCATACAAAGTCCCCTTCAGAAAATTACTTGAATGTCAAAAATTAACTTATAAACACAAATATCGCGATGAAATTCTGCACAATAAAATATTATGTAAATATAAATATATTCACAAAATTTTATCGGGTTTGGTCCATATTTGCCCCTAGCCCCCATATAAAGCCTGTTTCAGAAAATTAGTTTTTCATCCATAAATTGCTTAAATCTATCGGAACAAGGGAATATTGAAGATAAATGCTTTATTATGAAAAATAAATCACATTTAATATTCATAACTGGTGTAGGGTATCATATGGTCGGCCACGCCCGACTATACTTACTTACTTGTTTTTGAATAATTTTTTTTTCAGTAATTAATGAATTAATATCACGTTTTTGTTTATTTTTTAAACGTTTTTTGATTTTATTGTTTAAGTAAATAAAATTAAAATATTTTTGTTGATTTTTTATGCGAATTTGTTTAGATTTTGACCTGAGTGTACTTTGCTTTTTGAGTTAAAATATATTTTTTAATGATATCCAAAGAAATAGCTATCTGAACTCCTTTGGGCAACTTTTGCTAGGACCAATAGGTGAAAAGTTACACTCATTTGAATAAAACCCTGTATGACCAAAATGTCAAACTTTGACTCTAAGTCCGGCAGTTCATGACCAATAAAGCAGAAAATTTGTGTCTGGTCTACTATCCAATAGTACTAATCTTGGTTCAAATTTCATCCAAATCGATTTTTTGAGTTGGGTCACTTGACACGAAATTGCCCATATATAAAAGTCCACAGATTGAACTTTCAGATAATATAAAGTCTGTTCAGTATCTATGCATAGAAATTTGAAAATAATTTTTCTTTCCGAACAACTCCTTTATCCTTACTTTAAACAAGTATTGTATATAAGTATGTATAAAACTTTAATTTAAAACAAATGCAATCTGTTACTCACTAATACATTAAGCACTTATTTTATATGCACTTTGTATGTGTATGTTTATTTATGTACTCGTAAAACTAACTATGTATGTATTTATCAGCCAGTAGTCTATTGTTTTACATTTCATTCTTTGAAAGTGTAGCTACTTTATACACACTTACAACTAACACTGTATAACAAAACGTCACATCCTTTGAGAATAGAAGTCTATTGTTGTTATTATTTATGTTAATACTGCAATCACTATATATCAATCGGTTTAATTGTTGATATACTTATATACATAGTACTTCTTACTTATATACATTAAGGTGGTCCCTTAAAAACACTTGTGAATGTTCACTACTAAAAGAATGTGTTTATTAAACTATAATAATTGTTAGCCAAAACAAAGAATACGATTTTTTCTTTATGTGTGATTTGAATATCTCACAAAGAATATAAATGTTGAAAATTAGAAAGATTTTAAATATGATATTTTCATCCTTTAAATCTGCTCTTTTTAATAGGGAACATTGACAGTTTTTTTTTTTTTTTTGCTCCATGAAAACGGGGTCACCTGTAATGTGCACACATACTTACTTACATACATTGTATATTTAAGTCTGCATACACTTATGTTAATATATGTAGTAAATTATGTAAATATAACTTATTGACAATAAAGTTAAAAAGGAAAAAATAGAACAATGACCACTTGTTGTTGTTTGTTTTGGTGGTGTAAGAATATAATTCCATCTCATTAAAGTGCACGCACGTACATACATACTTACATACATGTTTGCTTATTTCATTCAGTAATAAGAATAGAACGGAAATCGTATTATAACACGCACACATATGAAAGTATGGGCATTAGGTTGGTACTATTTGTAAGATATCATTGAACTAGTTTTCCACGATCTAAGATTAAATAAGGTAATTTAAAGCTTTTTTGAAATGAACTGTAACAGTTGTTTTTAACAAAATTTATTTCAATTTCTTTGCAAAGTGGACCATCCTAATGTACATACTTAAATGTATTTTCATAATGCTTTAAATGTATGATCTACTAACATATCATTTATTTTTGTAGTACTTAGTTGTTGGAAAAGAAAAATATTAAATGATGAATTTAAATATTTACGATAACTGAAAATGTAGAAAATTCTACATACATATATAAATCTTATGATGTGTGTCCTTCTGTGACCATCTTGTCGGCTCTTTATAGAAGACAACCTTTGCCACTTTTTAATACATTTATAGATATTTTTTTCAATAATTTTCTATAAAGGGAAAATATAAAAAATTTTCAACAAAGAAAAAATTTTCAAAGAGAGAAATATCAACAAAATTTCCATAAAAAGAAAATAGGGCATAATTAGAAAAACATTAATTAAAAAAAAATCTGGAACATTTTTTAAAAAAATTTGTGGAAAATTTTCTACAATAAGAAAATTTGTCGAAAATTTTCTATAAAAGAAAATTTTTTAAAATTTTCTATAAAAGAAAATTATCAAAAATTTCCTATAAAAGGAAAATTGTGAAAAATGTTCTATAAAAAGAAAAATTTTTTATAAATGAAAATTTGTAAAAAATTCCCTATAAAAGAATTTTCTTTCCTATAAAGAGAAAATTTGTCCTTTAATATTTTTCTTCCAACTTCAATCACAAATTTGGCTTAATTTAATATTTCAAATAAACACACGCACACATAATCACAATATTATACAACAATATTAATACATACAAACATATTTAAACCATAAAAATCAAAAAATATTTAAAATCAGCTATTCCCCATAGAATTCTAATGTAATAAAAAAATTGAATAAACGAATCGATTAACAACAACCAATCTAACTTAAGAAAATTGCTAAAAATGTTAAAATGATTTTCAAACTCAATATTTCATTGCTTAAACGGTTCGTTTAGAATTTAAATGTATTTTAATTCTCCATATACTTTTTTTTTGTCTAGTTAAGTATTTATATATAAGTATCTGTATCTTATATATATTTTTGTTTCTTATTTTTTATCTACATACATATCTACAACATCATAATATTTAATATACCTATAAATATGTATATAATTTTATATTCTCTTTCTCTCTCTCTCTACCATTTGCTTGTTGCTATTGCTGTCGTTGTTGTTGTCGTTGTTATTGCTACCATATTCCATTTAATATCTATGACAATATCAGAATCAGAAACAATTTTCCTATTTCTCAACTCGTACTGTCATTTCGTTTTAATATATAAAGATATTTTGTTCGCTATATTTCTCCAATTACTTTTATGTTGTATTCTACTATTAAATGATAATTAAATATTCGTTCATAAATAACATGCAAATATTTATTGTTTACACTAACTAACATATGGATTTAATTTTAATCAAAACTGAAAATTTATTTTTTAATCAATATTGTACAATTCAACGCTGTTTAATTTTAAAGAAAATGCAAAAACTTGTTTACTTTTTCTCGTTGTAATCAGTTAGTGTTAGTGTTTTATTAAAATTAAAATCAAAGAAAAATAAATAACGATACAAAAATCTTAGAACTTGATAATTATTGAAATTGAATCCTTCGAAAGAAATATTTAAAAATGAAGAAGAAATATTAACATTCTAACATTTTCTTTAGTAGTTAGTTAGTTCTATAAAGAAAAATTTTATGGAATACTGGAATAAATAACCTGTGTGCTTCGCTACCCTAACCAAAACTATATACATACAAAATTTTTATTACTTTCATAGAATATTTTAATTGATTAAAAGTTTTTTTAATGTTTCTGTTTTTTATGTTAAATATTATCGAAATTTATGACAGTAAGGAGCGTGTATTTTTATTTTCATTCGTTTAGCTTCCACATAATAGAAAATTTCAAAAGTACTACATATTTGAAGAAGGAAAAAGTAATATAAAATACCTCTTACAGATTCTCATTCAATCAAAAATTTTTTGTTCAATATTATAGAAAATTTAAAAATTATAATTTGACGAACAAAAAAGTACCAAAAGTTCCTTTTTTAGATTCTCAGTCACTAAGCTCTATACATGTTAAATTTTATTTTTCTATGTTTAATATCCTAAAAACTTAAAAAAGTATCATCCGATAAACGAAAATGTACAAAAATCTCTCTCAATAATTTCTCATTTAATAAGGATCCTGTGTCATGTGTTCCGGTTCCCCATTATAGAAATTTATGTTTCTAGGTTGAATATTTTAGAAAATTCAAAAAGTACCATATGAGACTAAAAAGTTCTCTCTTAAAGAATCTCTTTCAAAAAGGACCGTGTATGTTTAATAATCGAGTGTTTTAGATTCATATTATAGAACTTACAAAGAGTATCATTTAAAGAAAGAAAAACTTCCAAAAGTGGAATAAATTCTACCTTTGTGGAAAGTACTAATAAAAATAGTACCATTTTCCTCCTTTTCACCTAGGAATAGACTTTTTCGAGAATTAAGTTTACTAAATATTCCGTGTATATCACACGATTCAAATCTGCATTCATTTGTTCCAGAAAAATTAAATTTTCAAAAAGTAACAAACAATTTACCCGAATTTGGTTCTACATAGGGCTTAGAAGCCGAATTCCCAAATAATATACCAATAGCGTATTTTGTGTGAGAAAATTAACTATTTTTTCAAATGTTATAAAAAATGGCTCAATGAGTTTGAATAAATAAATTTTCTCGTTTTTTCCCCGTTTTGGTACTTTTTTCCCCAGTAAAATAGCAAATTTTTTTTTCAATATAACATACTTAGTACGAAATTTATTAGATATACGTCAATAAATCGAAAAAGTTTTCTTAATGTGCTAAAAAAGTACCAAAAATACAATTTTCTCCCTTTTACATCCAAAAAGGAAAGAATTTTAAAAAAGTACGAAACATGTGTCCCATAATTTTGGAAGATATATTCAAAATATTTCTGTTTATTAGTTAAAAAGTTATAAAGGACCAAAAAAGGTACCAAAATCACCTTTGTTACATATTTTCACCCCTTAAAAGTACGAACTTCAAAAAAGTACCACCCTCTGCTTATTTTAAGAGTAGATACAGGTGCATTTAAATTTTTCTTGTATCACTAATATTGGGTAAGATAATTAAAAACCCGGTTTAAACCCGTTTTTTACCCCTAAATGTACAAATTTTTAAAAATCCCTCCTTAGTGGATCTATATAACTAAAAACACATCTCAAAATTTTCATGATTCTAGGTTCAGCCGTTTGGGCTGTTCGATGATGAATCGGTCATTCATTAACGATATCCTGCTATATATATAGAAGTTAGATTATCAATAAAAAGAAAATTTTATAGAAAATATTCTATGAAGAGAAAACTAATTTTTATCGAAAATAAAGTAAATTTGTATCAAAATATTCTTTAAAGGAAATATTTATTAAATATTATCGAAAATTGTATAAAAAATTTACCATAAAATTAAATTTTTCTAAAACATTATATAAAGTGAAAATATTAATCGAAAATGTTCTATAAAGAGGATTTTTTTATAAAAATTTTTATTTAAAAGGAACATTTTTAACGAAAATTTTCTTTAAAGTCAATATTTTTTTTCTTAAAAAAGAACATTTTTGCTATAAAAAATTTGATTGAAAATTTTCCATATACATATATGTTCCTTTCACTCCTCGGGCGACAATAGGCCATAGAAAATTTTCCATAAAAATACTTTTTATTGAAAAATTTTTATAAAGATAAACTTTTTTTTGGAAAAGCAATATTCAAACTTTTCTCTAAGGAGAAAATTTTATCGAAAATTGATAAAAATTTATTATAAATATTAAATTTTCTATAAAGTGAAAATTTTTATCGAAAATGTTCTATACAGAGAACATTTTTATCGAGCGGTTTCTTTATAGCGAAAATTTTTATCTAAAATTTTATTTAAAAAGAAAATTTGAATGGAAAATTTTATTTTAAAAGAAAATTTGAATGGAAAATTTTATTTAAAGCCAAGAATTTTTTCTTTAAAAAGAAAATGTTTCTATAAAGAAAAAAATTATTTAAACTTTTCTATAAAGAGAAAATTTTATCGAATATTATAAGAAATTTTATTAAAAATTTACCATAAAAAAATTTTCATTGAAACTGTTCTATAAACAGAAAAATTTTATCGAAAATTTCCTATAAAGAGAAAATTTAAAAACTAAATCAGAAATTATTCTAAAATGAGAAAAAATTTGCATTAAAATTCAAAATATTTATGTTACTCTGTCTGTGCAATACATTTTGATTACTCTTTCTTTGTTTTCAATGATTATATGTACTTTAGATTATTATGTCATGACATGGATAATGATGATGAAGAGTTACTATGGTTAAATCATTAAGAGATTATTAAAGAATTGTTACTGTTTCATAATATTACTACTATAACTAACATTATAATATTGTTTTAATTTCTATTTGTCTTTACAATAGAGTTTTTCCTTATTTATCTAAGCATCTATCTACTTATAAAATATTGACATAGAGAAAACAATAATAAAAACTTGAGTTGAAGATTTAAAAGATTACATTAAAGCAAACCAAACTAAAAATCCAAACAAAGTATTTTATTACAAAAGCATTATATTGAAACTTTTTTTTTCTTATGTTTGTAAATGTTTGTTTATAACCTAAGGACAAAATTGGCCGTTGTTTACTAATAAAATATTAAAAATTTTAAACAGTATCGAATATTTAGTATAAGAGCCTAAATATACAAAAATAAGATTAAGATTTAGAAAATGTTATGATTTTTATGATAGAGGACTTTAATAAATATGCCACAGTATATATTATATCACAGCTTTCAAGTCTTTAATTTTATATGTATATTTCCAAAAAATTTCCAATCTTTTAATAGAAAATGTTTGACAAATACTATTCAGAAAAAAAAATCAAATAATTTTCTTGCAATTTCCAATTTGTTAAACAAAATAGTTTGTATAGACCGGTGGCGTATGTTTGATATAAAATTATAATAAAAAATGCGTATACGTCAGAGTGGTCATAGTTCTTTTTCATATATTTATAGCTGAAAAAATGTTAATTAATAAAACTACTAGACACGTATAGCTACAAATATCTAAAAATAAAGAAAATACCTTGTTTAAAGTATCATTTATATAAATAAAACATAAAACATCTTCACTTCTTTGCCATTTTAACGCCCCTAGATTTATGTTACACTTAATTTGTTATGATTTCCTAACATGTTCAATAAAGTGGCTAATTAATGTTGATATTATACATTTCTTAGAATTCTGCATGTTTAAATAAATTATAAATAAATAACCTGAGGTTATAATTAGAAAGAAAGTCGTAATATTAAACACATAATATAACGTTCACTGTACCAATTTATAGTCTATATCTTAATAAAAGCTATTAAAAAAAGTTGTAAAAATTTTTTTTTAATTTAAATTTAAATCTTTTTCTAATTCAGAATAAGCAACATAAAAAGGAGTAAAATGAAATAGGAAACTTATGTAGAGAATAATATAAAAACTTGTTTGAGACTTTCATTTTCATAATTTAAAATTTAAGCTTGTTTATAAATAAACAAAATATTTCTATACATTTTTATGAATATAGCTGTGAATTTTTCTACTAACTTTATATTAAACTAAAGCTTAAATCGTATGCAAATTTTACTTTATTTTTAAGCTATTTTTTATTTCTTTACTTTTTAATCTCTTCAATATATGTATGTATTTGTGTAGAATGCGCTCGTAATAACGATTTGAATAAAATTGATAGAATCTTTAGGAAAAAAAACCATATTTATTAATTACTTTTCCATATTTCTAGGTGGTTCGGTAAGACCAACGAAAGGCTGGAAAGCTGAACATAAAGCTGCACGTACTTTGGGCATTATAATGGGCGTATTCCTATTATGTTGGTTGCCATTTTTTCTATGGTAAGTTAAAATAACTATTATTAATTTAATAAAAAAGTAAAACCTGAACAATAAAAAATAATAATCCCTGTAAATATTTTATTTATATACATATTTTATTTCTGTATAAAATTGTGTTTTTATATTTTCTATATAAAAGTCTTTATTAAAGAAAAAAATCCTATATTTAAAGAGCATTCTGTTCAGAATTCTTATTAAATTCAGTTTAAATAATATTGTTCAACAAACTTCTCTTTATAGTTTTCCAACAGAACTTTTTTATAAATTACATTACAAAAATTCTCTCTTAACAGTAAGATTTTTTTTTTTTGCAAAAAAATTGAGAAAATTTTCAAAAAATTATTTTTTATAGAAATTTTTTAAAAATTCTCTTTTTATAAAAAATTAGGAAAAAATTCTCTTCTTTTAGAAAATTTTGCAAAAATTCTCTTTTTTTTCTAGAAAATTTTGTAAAAACTCTCTTTTTTTTCTATAAAATATTGCAACAATTATCTTTTTTTCTAGAAAAATTTGTAAAAATTCTCTTTTTCTAGAAAATTAGGAAAAAATTCTCTTCTTTAGTAAATTTTGCAGAAATTCTCATTTATAGAAAATTTTACAAAAATTCTCTCTTTATAGGGAATTTGTCAAAAATGCTCTTTCTTTAGAATATTTTTCATAAATTCTCTTTTTACAGAAAATTTTGCAAAAATTCTCTTTTTATAGAAAATTTTGCAAAAATTCTCATTTTATAGAAAATTTTGCAAAAATTCTCATTTTATAGAAAATTTTGCAAAAATTCTATTTTTATAGGAAATTCTGCAAAAATTCTCTCTTTAAGGAAGTTTTGCAAAAATTCTCTCTTTATAGGAAAGTTTGCAAAAATTCTATTTTTGTAAAAAATTTTGCAAAAATTCTTTTTATAGAAAATTTTTCATAAATTCACTTTTTATAGAAAATTACATAAATTCACTTTTTATAGAAAATTATATAAAAATTATCTTTTTATAGAAAATTTTTTAAAACTTCTCTTTTTATAAAAAATTTTTTAAAAATTCTCTTTTTATAAAAAATTTTCTTTTTATAGAAAATTTTTTAAAAATTCTCTTTTTATAGAAAATTTTGTAAAAATTTAGAAAAAAAATTGGAAAATTTTGTAAAAATTCTAATTTTTTAGAAAATTTTATAAAATTTCTCATCTTTTAGAAAATGTTGTAAAATTTCTCATCTTTTAGAATATTATTGTAAAAATTCTCTTTTTCTAGAACATTTTGTAAAAACTCTCTTTTTCCAGAAAATTTTGTAAAAATTCTCTTTTTCCAGAAAATTTTGTAAAAATTCTAGTTTTCTAGAAAGTTTTGCAAAAATTCTCTATAGAAAAAATAGAAAAATTTACAACCACCCTATAGGTAAAAATTAAACTATTTCTTTACTAAATGCACAGTGGGGCAGAATCAAAATTTTTGGAAATAAATCTATGGTATTTGAGTCGCTCTAGGTATGGTGCTTTTGGAGCTCAAAGTAGAGTTCTTTACGAGTTAGATCCATTTGAAAACTCTGCTTTTTTTAAATGCCCCACTGTGTAATGCGTATATACTAAACTAAACTCTAAAACGCACTTGTATGAATAAATAAAACTATTATAGATATTTTACCCCGACCCTTAACCACACACATATGTATATTATTATTTACATTTTTTTCTTTTCATTTAAAGGTACGTGATAACATCACTATGTGGTCCTGCATGTCCTTGTCCGGACGTTGTCGTAGCTGTACTCTTTTGGATTGGTTATTTTAATTCAACACTCAATCCACTCATTTATGCTTATTTTAATCGTGATTTTCGAGAAGCATTTCGTAATACCTTAGAATGTGTTTTACCATGTTTGGAGAAACGTAATCCCTATAATGCTTATTATGTGTAGCATATGCAGCATTCAACAATATCCTCCTCGTCAGCGGTGGCAACAACAGTGTATTAAGTAAAAACAAAACTAAACTAGCATACAGTAGACGAGGCAAGATATTACTACCGAACTAAAATTATTAAGCGAGATATTTTGAAGTACAGTATTAAATTTATATGCAATAAATACTACCATTACATGTACACTTTCACTATACACATTTAGTATGTATTTTCGTAAGTATGTTTGTTTGTGATTTTGTATGTATGTTTGAGTGTAAGAAAGAGTGCGTGTGTATGTTTTAGTTTTTTTTTTAAGTACATCGTAGTAAAGTAAGAGATTGTAAACTAAAACTATTTATGTGATAAACCAGAAGAAAAAACAAGAAAATTTAAAAGAAAACAAGATTTTATTTTTGTATTTTGTTAAGTGTTTTAAATGAAAAACAAAACAAAGAACTGCTCTTAAGGGGATATTTAGAAAGTGTTCTACTTTGAACGTTTATTTTGAAGCACAGTGGGTTTTAAATAAAATTATAGTTAAGTTAAACTATCCTTTATATTAAAATTATCCTGAAAAAAAAATTTAGAAAAATAAAAACTAACAACATATTTTGCGTTGCCGATAAACTGAACTGTATACAATAACGAACACTTTCGGTTGTTTTTTATATAAAATCTAATAGTAAACTAGTATCAACTATTCTGAAATACCACTGTATCAATTCATTTTTTTTCTAATTAAAAGATTTTTTGTACTTAATTTTCATATTTGCAAAATCTTATAATTTTAGTAATTCTAGTTTTGTTTAGTCATAAAAATATATTTTGTATAAAGTTTTTTATATACATGAGCGGTCTATGAAATAAAAGTTTATCCCCAGGTTCTAAAGTACTTCTAAAGAGTTTTCAAGGAACTAGTTCTTTGACATTAGTTATACATTGATACTACACTAGTTCAATGGAACACATACTAGTTCCGAAACAACTTCTTAGAACCAGTTGAAAAAAATGAAAAAAAAATTAAAAATTCATAAACTTATTTTTATTGAAATAGAAAATGCATTCATATCTTTATTTCTGCATAAAATTGAACTATAAGCAATCAAAGAGACCCTAATTGAATTGTACCGGGAGACTGGGAAGTTAGCTGCTAGTTTCTTATATCCTGTGTAAGAAATAGTTCAACAGATGAATCTTATGTAAGATAATTGTAAGTAAGTTTTCTAAATAAAATTTGGTACAATAATAATAATCCCTCAACAGTGTCTCAAAATTATACTTAATCTTAATAATTTCGAACAAAAAACGCTGAAAAAATTAACTATTTTTAAATAAAGAGTATACGTTCTGTAAAGCTTCCGTAGAACTAGTTCCGAGGTTAACAAATTCGAACAAAAATTATTGATTAAAGAACTAGTTCCGAAACCGTTTCAAAGAACGAGTGTCAAATCCATAACGCTTCCTCAGAACTAGTTCCGAAGGTGACAATTTCGAACAGAAATCATTGGTCTCAACGCCAAAACAGATGTTTAGCAAGAAAAGTCTTCCTTACATTTACATGCAATAATGTTGAGAGCAATATGTTGCCTTTTATATAAACAATTAGTATATGGGCTTGACAATTGACTATTATATGGACTAGTCTATTCACCTGTCTTTAGTCTATTCTATTGAAAACTATTGAATAGTTTATTGACTAGTCTTTAAGGATTATGGAAATGATTAAAGTACATGATCCATTTCGTTAATCCCAAAATTACTCCCCTGCAAACGTTATTGGAGTACATGATCCGGAGTAGTTTTAGGATTAATCTTTGCAATGCATGTGTTGATTACTGGGTCCTCACTTAGGACAATGCAACGTTAATAAATGAACTAAGTTTTTTCATATATTTAGATTAGTTTTGGACTGGTTCAAATAGATCCTTTACGGAGTACTCTTTACAAGCGCGTGAGGAGTAGTCTAAATTTTTGTAGGGTGTTTAATATTACTTCCTGATAGATAAAGTTTAAATTATGTTTGTGTGAAAAACAAATCAATGATCATGTTCCATAGTTTGGTTTTCAGTATTTAAAAGAAAATCCTTTAAGACAGGAGAAGTTTTTCTATCCATCTTTACCCACTGTGCTTTAACCATTTAATTTAATCTACCCTAGACAACCAACCATACATACTTAAGTAGTTATTTTAATAGCAAACTGCAACAAATACATATACACATGTATGTTATTTAGTATTTTAAAGCAATAATACTTTTTCTTCATATATTTTTAAGTTCTTTTCTTAATAGCAGTATGAGTAAAATTTTATTTTAAATACAATACCTACCACCTAGCTAGTTTGTTTTTATGTATAAATTGAATTTTTACAAAGCTTTTGCAACACCTGTTACACTTAAACATGAAAAAAGTTTAAAAAAATTATGTATTTTGTTTGTAAATAAAAACTAGTAGCATAGTTAAAGAAATAGCAATTAAATATTGATGTAAAATATTGTATTCCAAAAGGCTTAAAAAATATTATTATATAAAATAGTAATACAAATTACTAAGAAATACACTAAAAAAGCTGAAATATTAGTTAAATACATACATAAATATATATTTAAGTAAATAGTTAAAATAAAATAACACATGGTGTTCTTGTAAATGTCTCTGGTTTATAAGCAATATTTGACGTATACGTATTGTATGTATTATGTATGATATAAGTATGATTTTATTTTAAAGCAAAAATTTGCAAAAACAAAAACCTACTTTGTTGAGGATTTTGAAAATTGTTAAAAAATTCTTCTTTAATTTTTAAGTAGTTTTTTAATATGTTAAATACTTTGTCATAATTATTGATTCAAAGTTTTTGTTTAGAACCTAGTGTCGAGAGTCGAATACGTAAGTTACTCTGGATGTATTTATAATCCACACCAAAATACATTTTGGTATAAACAATCACATGATTTAAAGGTCAAGATCTTGTTATGGAAGATCATTAGCTGGCGATTGAAACCCGTTTATAGATGATAATCATCCAGAGATTGAGAGATCATAAACTTGCTATTGAAAACTTTTTATAGGCGATCATGAGCTAACAATTGTATATAAAGCCTGAAAGTTTAAGACGGTGATGACATTGGAGTCAATTACTTACGATGCTTGCTTAAAAATAACTCCCCAAATAAGTGCTTACAAATACTGAGTTAAAAAATTTGTGTGTTTTACCCACAAAAAATGCTCACACAGATTACAAACTTGGACCTCTTGTTCGTTAGTTAGCTATGTTACTGTGCGTCACATATTGTATATAGTGCTTACGCATCTGATGATATGTAAGTCTTTGTAAGAGTACTTAAATATAATGCAGACGTTATGCAGTAGTCATTGAAGAGTAAGTAGTTGTGTAAGTACAAGTCATTACCGAGTTTTTTCTGGATATGTATAGTTGCTAAATCGCCATAAAAGAAATTCTTTGATGCAGCAGATTCATTATAAACGTCGATAACGCCCATTTACATGGAGAGTAGGGTTATAATTATTTTTTTTGCAAAAAATATACCTATTGCCTCATAATAGGCAATACTAATTTAATAATAGAAATCGTGTTCGCCTTTAATTTTGGCAAAAAAATTACACCTGTTAATTCAAATATTTTCTAAATATTTAAACATACCAAAGGTATCGGAGATGTTATCGAAATTCCGAAAAAACAAATTTCAACTCGGTAACTTTGTTGACAGCAGCGAAAAAATAAGATTGTATTTCTTAAAATATTTTATTATCTTTTTAAGTAGGTAATGTAAAATTGTAAATTTGCAGAAAGAAATTCTAAAAGTCATAACACTAGCAGAGAGTCTTCCATCTATCAGGATTCTCAAATGTTGGGAATAATTGTTGCCAAACATTCAATGGGACTTCTCCTAATACAAGCGGATTGTAAGAGTTTCACAATGGTGTAAGTGTACTTGCATACATATGTATTTGTACAACTCATTAATGTATTCACGTTTAATTTCCGTTGTATGTCAACTAAATTCTGTAAAACTTTTTCTGGTTGTTTTTATATAACTTGTAAACTATTATAACAGAATTCTACATAAAGATTTATATAAGCATATACTTTTTTTAATTTCCTTTTGATGTACCAATTCCAATTAGTATGAAACTTTCAAACTATATAAAAAAATGTGAAGTTAAACTAACTGCTTAATAGGAACTAGTATTTTATATTTTAATTTAAATATGAATATTTAAAAAGGGGAAAACATACTCTTGCAAAATTAACATGAATTTCAACCTCATTTGACAACAACTTTCTAATTTAAATGTTCCCAGAATTTTATTAGCAATAAAATAATATTTGTAATTTAATAAATTAAAGATTCTAAAAATAATTCAAGAATAATCCAAGAGTCGATTTAGTGCTATATTTACACTAAACATTTATTTAACAAATATGAAGTAAATGTTTTTTTTTTTTCACAAAATTGTTTTAAAACTTTTCAATTATTTGCTTTTTAACAAAGACTTGAATAAGTAGGTATATAATGTTGTTTTTTTAATTTAATATTAATAAACGGAAACGTATAAAAAATGAATAAAAACAATTGGTTGAATAAATGATCTATGAAAGTATCATTAGTTTTAAATTGATGTCTAAATATTCTAGATATTAAAGGAAATGTCTTTTTAAAAATAAAATAATTTAAATTTGCATCGAAATTACAAAATACAACAAATTGATAGTATATGCAAATAAACAAAAATACATATAATTACATAAGTACAAGTTGATAAATTAGAATATTAAAAATTGAAAATTCTTATAATGAAGTAAAAAAAATACAAAGTAAAAAAATACTAAAAATGCAAAAATTAGAAAACTAACTAACTAGCGGAAAAATATATGTGAATTTTATGTATAAATGTTGGTGTTTAAATTAGACAGAAAATAAAAATAAAAAAGAAGGATATAGTTGGTAATAAGAAAAATTTATGAATAAAAAAAGCTGCAAAAATGCAATGATTTAAAGAAAAATATGTTAAAAAAAATATTCTTACAAAATTGCAGCAAATGACAATCTTTAAAGCTAAAGAAAATTAAAAAAATTAAACTTTTAATAGAAAACAAAACTAAGTAAATTGTGTTATAAGGAAATTTTTATTATTTTTTTTTTTAGTTTAGTTTAATTTCAAAGTTTTTCCATGTGAATGAAAAATTAACAAAAGAATGGAATTGTTGTTTATGTTTGTTTTTGTTATTAATTATTTTTAGTGAGAAAAAAAACGGAAATAAAAAATTATTTATTTAAAAAAAGAAACTAATAAAAATGCGGTTATTTGAAAATGACAACAGTGGGGTAAACTGTAAAGATAAATGTAAGTATATATATATATATATATATCAGTAAAACCAAGTAAAACGTCATAAAATGCTACAGTATTTTCAATACTGAGAGTAAAAATACTAAATTGTATTTTATTCAATATTCTATTCATAAGTCTATACACTAGTCTATTAACTGATATACAGTATTGTTCGAAACCTAAGCAACTTTTTTTGGCATTGTATACAAAGTGCTATAATTTCTATTTTAATTGATTTATTCAAAATTATATAATTGATAATAATAATATTATGTGTCTACATTATACTAACAACAACAAAAGTTTAATTCCATTTGGCTGTGAATGACAAGAAAATAATAACTGAATTAACTCCATAAATAGCTGTTTGAAAATTAAGCAAATTTTTGATCTTCTTATGAAAATCGTTGGTCTTTTGAGTTCCAAACACCTTTATGGAATAGATTAGTTATTAGTGTAGTTCTTAATGAATCGAAAGCGGATTCATTACGAAGCTCAAACAAGTCAAACAATTAAGGTTGTGGCAAGATTTTTGGCGAGTAGAGTAAGTCCTGATATTGAAATGCAAATAAAATTGGACATGTCTTTTTGTGTGTTACAAACATCAGCACAAACGTATAATACCCTCCCCACTATAGTGGTGTAAGGTATAAACAGTATGAAAGTATAGTCGGATATGGCCGACTATATGATACCCTACACCATGGGTATCCATATTTTGAAAATTATTTATTTTTTCTAAAGAAACTTTTATGTTAAATTTTATTTTAATTCCGATGTATTTAAGCAATTTATTGATAAAAAACTAAATTTCAAAAAGAGGCTTTATATGGGAGTTAGCTTCAAATATGGGCCGATCCTCAAAAAATTGGGAAGAGGGATGTCATTTTATATAAAGGTTAGTGATGCTGAATTTCATCGCGATATTAATGGTTATAAGTAAATTTTTGGACGTTTAATTTATTTTTAAAGGGGTGTTTGTATGGGAGCTAACGACGGCCGATCATTATAAATGATCGTCATGGCCATTTATGCCTATGTATATAAAACTTAATTGTGCCAATTTTTGGTGAGATAGTAGTATATTTGACGTAGTTATAAGGTAAAAACCCTAAATCGGAGGGTAAGGTTGTATGGGGGCTAAATGCATATTTTATCAAAATATCTTGAAAATTGTGGCCTGTAGCTTGCACACAAGGTTTACATAGACAGCCAGCCAGCCGGACAGACGAACGGACGGGCATAACAAACAAAACCCGTCAGGGAGATTATTTGACACTCTCTGCCTATGCCTATTTTACAACTACATATATCCCTTTTCATCTTAAATTTATTAAATACAGTGTATTTAACTTTTTTTGGAGAAAGATATACATTTTTCCTTATTCTTTCCTAAAAAAACTTAAAAATTAAATGACGCTCTTAAAATAAAATAGTATATGATTAACAGAATAGAGTTCTTATGTTTAGCAATAACAAATTTGCATCGACTTTTATTTCTACACACACGTAACACATAATACACACACAAACAAATATAAGCTGTAAACTATAAACAACTGCATTACCTACCTACAAATCACTGTATTACCAACCTCTAAACAAATACGAGCTGCATTACCCAAATACAACTGCATTATCTCGTTGTAGTTATTTTTTATAATTTTATTTAAATTTTTTGAAGATGTGCTCATATCTCAGTTATTTATGGACCAATTTTGCTAATTTTAAATAATAAACTTATTGAAATCATCTCTACAGAATTATTGCAGATTTGGATTCCGAAGATATCTGGGGTATTCTGAACAATGATTTCAACAGACACACAGACGGAATCTATAAAGATTCTATAAATAAAGTAAACAAGTGGACCCTTCTCTATCTCTATCATTGTCCGTTTAAAAGCGTTAACCTTTAACTACGGACGATTTACATAGATTTAATTTTTTTTTTTTAATCTTTCAAAATAAATAAATTTTAAAAATCAAATATTAAATTACGAATCAAAAGGAGTCAAATAAATTAATTTCCACGTCCATGAAAACACCTCCTTCGTCGTTAAAAGTTAATATGGGATAAGTAAGTATTTAGACTCAAGTATTTATGTACATTTGTTAATTTTATTTAATAATCTTAAAACTACTTAAAACATTTAACAAGTTTTTTCTTTAAATAAATTTAGCACGTCTTATTACACCATCGCTGGAGGCGATATAGACCGTATTGTTGGCTCCACTACAAAGAGCATTCACACAGCTGCCAACTTCAACTTCTCCCAATGCCTTGGGTTTCTTTCCATCCAGCTCAGACCAGGCCTTAACCTTGTTGTCATAACCACCAGTGTATAAATACTTATCATCACCACAAATGCCATTTATAATCAATTCATGGCAGTCCTTTAATATTACAACAATCACCATTATTTTCTCAAAATTTTATCACTTAGCCAATATGTCTACTTACATTAGCATCCCATATAACATTGAATTTCTCACGGGGTGTATTGTGTATTAAGGTCATACCTTTGCCCGTACGATCAGCAAATGCCACATACTTGTGTCGACCCTCATCCATGGGACCCAATAAACACAACGGTGATTTACCAGGTTTTACTGCTTTTGTATTATATTTTCCCGATTTTCCGGAAACCACTTGTGATATTACCACATCCAAATCACGCACTGTGTATATCCAATCTTGTTCGGCCGCCAAACCTTTTACCTCCTCTACCAGATTGAACTTGAACAACATTTTATCATTTTCCCAATTCGTTACAACACCCTTGTCATCACCGGTATACAATATATCTTCCTCACAGTACATGGCTTGTATTACGTCGTCACAATGAAAGAGATCTTCAACTTTGTCGTAGGGTGGTTGCATAAATTTAACGCTACCATCACAACAACTCGAGTACAATTTACCTTTGCTATTAATGGCCAGAGCATAAATGTAGGATTCATGTGCATCGACCGTTTTAATTAGATTCAAATCACTATCCCAAATCTAGAGGAAAGGTGTAACAATAATCATAAATTGCTTCGAAAGATTTTGTACTCGTACAGTGCGTGTGAAAATTATATACATAGATCATACAATAGTATGATTTATTCATGTATTTAAAACAAATTTATTTTTTTAAGACTATTTAAGGAATTGTTCGTGCTTACGTTTGCAATGCATAATTTTTATCAAGCTTAAAAATGAGTTATACTTTTCGTTCGATTTAAAAAGTTGTATGTAAGGTTTCACATTTTGACTTTCTGAATAATAGTGTTCGTTTTTGAAAACTACTAAAATAGTCTCTTTTGAGAATATTCCCGACAATTTGTAGACGAAAATCTAGCATATATGTACATACATACTTATGTGTGTATATAGGCAGTTTTTACACTCAATTTATATATTTTCTCTTCTAGAATATTCCAGGAAGTAGTTTTTATACTCAATTTATTTTTCCTTCTAGAATATTCTAAGAATTATTTTTTTGTTATTTTGTAAAGCACTCCTTTTAATTTAAAATAACATATACAAAACTGTAGCATAATTGTAGGCAGTTGGAAAAACTGGTTGTATTGTCGGGAAATTGAAATGTCTTAAACTTTTAAAATTTTTGAACAAGAAGAAAAACTTTAAATCCTAGGAACTATAAATTTAAATTTTTTTGTAACAACTAAATATTAAATTGTGATATTTATTTTTCTCACGCACTGTAAATGCACCCACAATGAAAACAAAATAGAATATAATAATTTCTCATGAATATTTAAATATATGTATACGACGAGAGTAGTATTCTTTCACAAACACTTTTTTGTTAGTTTACATTTTGGTGAGAATTGACTAGAATTTTCTTTTGCCACAAAAAGAAAAAAACACAAAACGAAAAAAACAAACAAATTTTATGAAAATGTTTTAGCAATTTATACAAATTGTATAATCATAATACAAACAAAAAAATATTTAATGGAAATAAAATTCATATCAAAATTCATCACCAAAATTCAGATAAAATTGTTTATAATTTTTTTTTATAAATTAAAGTAAATACTAACTTTAATTTTACCATCAGCACCACCAGAAAATACTTGATTATTAAAAAAGGCCACACAAATTGCATCACCTTCATGTTTTTCCGTAGAAACTTTTTCAATTGCCGGCATTTTGAATGATAATCGATTATTTATGAATTATTATTTCCTATTTTCTAATATTTATTTTTAAATTTTAATTTTAAAAATAATTTGAACTTTTTTCGTTAACGGCAGAAAACAAACTAATTCAATGTAGAATGACTCTCTAAGTTTTTGTATATGGGTGTGGATGCCAAATGTGAGGCATTTTGACGTACACCCGATCTAAATATAGAATATGTTGTTGATCGAATTTTTTGTTTTAGTATACAATAGAAAATATCCTACAGCAATGAGAAGCAACAATAGAAGCTGTTTTAAATATTGTTGACAATATAAAGAAACTTATCGAAATACCAATAAAATTTTGTTTTTTTCTTTTGAGTATTTATCTATATATTGATTTGAATAATAAATTATTTTATTATATAGGTACATACAATTATAAAAAATAAAAAAAATTATAAATAATAAAAAATCCAAATCTCTTACCATAACTGAAAATTATTTGCAAAAATATAATTCTTACCTGTAAATAAAAGAAAAATTATAAATTACATTTTGAACAAAAAAATTAAAACGTTTAGAACTAAAGTAAAATCCTTAAAAGTGGTTAAAAAAAAGTAACGTAAATTTTTAACAAGTTTATGTATTTGTATATACACGGCACTCGTAGATTTAAGAGAGAGTAATTTCCTATTTGTGAGAGTCGGACTACTTATTATACTTTGAAAATCATGTAAATTTACAAAATTATTAATGGAAAAGCGGATTTCTTTGCGATCATCACATTTTTGTAAAAACTTTAAACTTTACATTTAAAATGCAAAAATAAACTAAAATACAACTTGTTTTGATCAAAAATATGTTATAAAAAGTAAAAAGTGTTTTATACGCATTAATATTCAGAAAAAAATTAATAATGAAATATGTTCTAAATATAAATTTTTAAGATTTAAAAGCTCAAAAATAACATTCCATATTAAATCCAATAATATTTCTTTTTGATAACACAGGCCAACGATGAAAAAACTTTGTAAATAATTTTCACTAATCCCAGTGTTATTTCGTGTGCTGATTCCGAATTTGGAAATAAAAAAGTCGTATCACCCACCAATTTTTCACATTTTCATCTTTTAGTCCTTCTGACTGGCACTTCAAAGGCAAGTAATTGGAATATGTATACAATTATTGTTCTAATAAGATACAAAACACAAAAATCGGTTAAAAAACGTAAAAGTTATTACAAATTCTTCCGATCATTTTAGTGTCACAAAATATATTCTTTGGTAACATACATATGTATATCTGAAACATACATATGTATATCTGAAGTTTTAGTAAAATCGAATAATGTTAACCCATAAACTGTGAAGATCAAACTCAAGCTATGCAATATTGGGAAATTTTCTTGAAACACTAGTGAAATAGTATCTTCTTTTCAACCGATTTAAATTAAACTTTGTGAAATATACAATGAATGCCAGTTTTTATGGTGACATAGAAAAAATCGAAATTAACCTTTAAACGTAAATATATTTTTATAATAAATAAAAAATTCAATGCCATTTGGCGTGAAAATTTTGGGTTATAGAGAACAAGTAGGAAAGTATGGTCGGACATGGCCGACTATATGATACCCTACACCATGGGTATATTTTAAAAATTATTTATTTTTCATAAAGAAACTTTGATGTTGAATTTTATCATAATTCTGTATTTAAGCAATTTATTGATGAAAAACAAAATTTCTAAAAGAGTATTTATATGGGAGTTAGGGTCAATATGGGCCGATCCTCAGTAAATTGGGAAGAAGGATGTATTTTTATATAAAGGTTAGTTATGCTGAATTTCATCGCGATACTAATGGTTATAAGTAAATTTTTAGACGTTTAAGATATTTTTTAAAGGGGGGTTTGTATGGGGTCTAGGGTGAAACGACGGCCGATCGTTGTTGAAATTGGCATGGCCATTTATACATATAGTTGTGCAAATTTGTGGTGAGATAGTAGTATATTTGACCTAGTTATGATAATTTTCAATAGGCATCATCTTTGTGGCAAAAAACTCTTATGGTCTAAATTTTATCAAAATATCATGAAAATTGTGGCACAAACGTATAACCCTCCCCACTATAGTGGTGCAGGGTATAAAAACAGATATCAGATTTGGTTTCAGCAGCTAAAAATATATTTAAATCAGTCGAATTGGTTTCAAAAACTTTTACAAACCTTCATGTCGTTGATTTGTTATTAATAAAATATAAAATAAAACTTGAGTTGTAACTTACATACATAAATATGTATATATATCTACATACATACATATGTATGTATATTAGAGGTGTCCAAAAAATATGGATTTTGCTCAGATGGGTGTTATTTTGTTCATTAGTTTCTAAACTGGTGTAAAATTTTAGCCAAATCGGGCTCTCGTGCCGGAAATCGATTGAAAAGTGTAAAATTGGATAAATAATAAAACTTTTTTTTAATTCTTCAAAAATTGTGCCATTAAAATTATAGCTTCTAAAAATTTCTTCCAAATTTTATCTTCTTCTTTCTTTCCAACAAGGTATAAAATATTAATATCGATCTACAAATAACAAAGTTATAGACATTTTCTTTTCACAAATACATATGTTGCAAAAACGACTAAATAATTCATATTTTACTCGTTTTTTTTTTTTGTGTAGATATTTTTGTTTACATTACATCTGTATGTAAAACGAGGACCAAATAATTCATAAAATGCATGTTTTTTTAATAAATGGCTTGGGAAATTGTCAATAACTTTATTGTTTGTCCTTTGATATACATAAATGTTATAAACCTCTTTGGATAGATTAATTTCTCTAGATGATAACGACGGATGATTTGGACGAAATGTTAAGAAAAGTTTATTATTATGGAACAATTTTTGAAGAAATCAAAAGAAGTCCTGTTATTTATCCAAAAATATTTATCCAAAAATATTTAAAAAAAAAATATTAAAAAAAAATCATTTCTCACCTTATAAGCTGCATTATTTCGTTCTATGTTCTTAAATTTATTATATTATATTTATTAATTTAAGATTTTTACTTTTTTATTAAATAAAATAACTCATAATTTAGAATTTAAACTTAAAAACCAACTTTTTTAATTTAATACAACTATTTTATTATAATTTATTTATACATATTTGAATTTTTACTTTCATTTAGCACTTTTCCATTTATTTATTAATTTATATATAAACATTTTATATTTTTTTTCATGATGCTTTTTTGTCACTTTTTTTATTTTATAAAAAATATATTACTTTATTTTATTTGCTTTTATATTAATTACAAATTAATTAATATTAATTACAAATTATGCTAATAACGCTCTTAATTACACAAACACTCATACATATATTCAAACACACATTTTCTCATTATTACACGACCGCCATTTAATTTACTCTAATAAAATACACTTCATCAATAAAACCCAAAGCAAAAACAAAAAACACATACATAACTATTGCCTATTTTATACACTTCAATTTTCTTATATTCTTCTATCCTTCTTTACGCATGACAATAAAGTTTAACTTGTTGCACATCCTCCTATTCGTACAACAACAACTGCGATTGCAATGACTTAGCAAAAGTAGTTATGCAAAAAAAAAAGAAATGACGGAGCCCTAGGGCTCCACTAAACAAACATGGAGTCGCAAAACTTTTTCACTATTTTCACCATAGATATTGATATATATTTTTATAGACATCTATAAATTGCATTGTAAGTAACATTTTTCACTAGTTTTTCTAAACGTAATTTCACTATTAACTTATATTTTAATTATTTAAAAAACGTACACGAATTTTAGTAACGCTTAACGAAACCGGATGAAAACAACACTCAATGATATGTCAATTTGTGAACTGCCATATTGTTTGGTCTGGAACAAAGTAGAAAAACTATATGGCAACTCCTAAAGCTAGTAATTTCTATCCAAGTGGTGTTTGGCTACAATATTAGGAATTATTAAAAAATATGAAAATATTTACATAAATTAGTTTACATTAATGATGTTTTATAAAGTTAATGTAGTTGAAAGTCTTTATAATTTAAATTTAAAGAAAAAAATTATTTTGTAACGGCCTGTTTCTATAAACATCTGGTATACTTTTTGTGGTTTGGCTATGTTTAGAGTGAAGTTGGCTGCAGTTCATTTGTTTTTTTTTTTCATCAAGAGAAAATTGGTCAGTGTTACCAGTAGCTACATATGAAAAAGTGCTAAATAAATAGGGTTACCATTTAATACGTATTTTTATCGACTTTGAGTTTCGATTAATTGTTCAATGTTGATGGTATTTTGTTCATTGATACAAATTAACAAAACGTTTATTTTTAAAATTTTGTTAGATTTTTGACTTATTGTGCTTAGAGCTCTATTGTTAAAATAAAAAGTCGGAATTATTAAAAAGTCGACTTTCCGAATTTTCTTTTTTATTTCGACATTTTTTGAAATTGTTAACTTTTATCTTCAAAGTTGATTTTTCAATTTCGTAGATTTACCGACTTTTATGAACAAAATAGTCGACTTTTTTGGCATAAAGTCATTGTTCAAAAGTCGATTTATGGAACCTTAAGATTCTATAAATTGACATTCAAACATAGACTTTTTATCAAAAAGAGTTTAAGCCTATTATTTTGTTAAACAAATATATAATTATAATTCAACTATAGAACCCTAATTCAAGCATTAACTGGATTACTTTATATAAAACATTGAAATAACATATTTCAGCAAATTTTACCCTGTATTTTTATAATATATTAAAATCGCACTTCATACTATTTTTTACAACTCTGGGGAAAAAAAGTTTTGTTAAAATCGTATGTTTTATTTCACTCCAAATATTTATATTTTACTTTTTCTTCTCAGTTTATGAATTTTTGTGTGGATTCCTATTTATAATTGTGTATTAATATAAAAAAATGCAATAAGATTTTTAAGAAAAGTGTGAAAAATAATAAAAAAGTGAACATTGGCAGTTATTAGTTTCCTTTTATAGATTTTTATACATATTTACAAATACGTCCAATGTCTACGAGACATTTTTTTAGTTGCTTATACAAATTTTTACTGCCTTTGGCTTTACCATCAACCAATAAAAAATTATTACAAATT